GGAGTCCAAGCAAATGGGTACAAGCATCTTGTCTCGAAAAACGTCCATGGATTATGCTCCAAATATGTACATAAATTGAGCAGGTAAGCCCTATCTTTAGAAAGAAATCTAAAAGCATGTCTATCCTGTTTTTGCACCGGTTCTGTCTGATTGCAGATCAGTCCTTTAAATATGCTACCACATACAGGAGCGCATGTAGTGGGTGCACCCTAGAAGGCGACCGATTAAGTCAAAATCTTTTCCTTTTTTGTTTGGTTAAAGGTGTAGTTCACGATAAAAATGGTTTCTGAAATTCGCCCACAGGATGAATTGAGGCCCCGTGTGTACCACATCTGGTACTATTAGGCTGGAAAACGGAGTAGTTGTGGAGCTATAAAGGCTCAAAGATTGGCCAGTGTGTATCTTCGGACGGGTTTCACCGGCATTGTAGAAGCTGCACTGATCACAAGGGAACCCATGTAGGAAGTTCAAACAACTTGTCATACCCATAACGACGGTGAGTGAGAGTTCAGACAGTTCTCGCTTGATGTAGTCAGCTCTTTGTGCAATTGCAATAACTGAAATCTCGTCCGAATACCCCTTCCTTGTTACTTCCGTCATGGCAATCTCATCCAACCTCTATTTTCCTTACTTTTGAGGAGCCATATTTTTCTCAAAATCGGCGAATTCTCTCGTTTCCTTCACTACTTATGAATTATTTCCAATCTATACTTCCGCTTTCCGATTAAAAACGTGTACCTCAGCATTATCGTGAACTGTGGCTTTAAGAGGTAAATATTGCTCTTCATGGAAAACTGTGAGATTTGAGATTAAGTTTTCTGCATAATCTTGAGCAAATATTTATAGCAGCCCATACCGTTTTCATTGACTCCTTACTCCGTGATAACGTCAGAGATGAGCTAAACTTTGCACTACGAGTCTGGTCATAGTCAGGCTGAACGATCCAGGCTGATTGTTGCTCAAAAATCCGTTTTGTTTACTTGGCTTGTTGTGATTTTTAGCTCTACTGACCATTGAAGAACATATTCTGCAACATCTACCATTTTCCTTACTCTTCTTCGGCCTTTTCCGACTAGGGGACGAAATCTGCTTTTCTGATATATCGGAGTCACTTTTTCCGATTTAATGAGGTAGGGACGAAAGCCTTCTTCTTCGAAGTCCTCGTGCAAGATATTAAGAAAACCTCGTTTTGGAAGTTCCCAAGGCCGTCCCCGGACAAGAAGGGAGTGAAGCCGGTCTTATAAGCAATGTTTCTGTCCTCGTTAGGACACAGTCGTACCACCGAGGTGGAGCTTCGCGTATATCACCTGCAATAGGAGCTACTCCGAAACGCTCCGTTATTGCTTAGCTGCGAATATGGTTAGAAGGACTGCAGCCGCCCAGCGAAGTATTTCCGTTTCCACTACTCAGAGGAGCGCTTTCGTTTTACTGGTCACGGGCCAGAACTATTCGCGACTGGTCGTACGGTCGCACTCATACGTGAATTCATTTTAGAGAGCGAGTGCCGTCAGACGCGATTGCTGACTCAAGATACTTGAAGATAGATGTATGCAGAAGCCCCGTGTCGTAAATCTTAAAAGCGCCTTGTTCACTTGACTTCGAGCCATGCACTGGATCTTCCACATTACTTAACCGGGATCCGAACAATGTTAGAGATCGGATGAAACTTGTACTTATTGCTGTAGATTAATCATGTCTTCGCACGTCACGAGCATTACGTCGTCGGCATGAAGAAAGTCTATGAAGCTAACCTCTCAGAATCTCGCCTAATGGCATCCATGAAAACAAAGAAGTGTTTGGGAATAGCAGAGCCTTGGTATATCCCGATAGAGATGGGATGTTCTGAAGTTAAGGTCGATAGATCATCAGCTTCATCAACCATGATTGTGTTGGTTTGGGAAATGGACCATGGACGTTGTTTAAATTGGATTATTGGATTTATTGGTTGGATAAAGTCGAAGAGCAGCTCACCCTGCGTGAGTGCTATCATTTCGGTGAAGGAAAAGCGGCAGAAATATGTCAACACTAATGGTGTGTTCCTTGTTTTGTATTGTTGTATAGTTTGATTTGTCCCCATTCAGCCCATTCAGTGAAGTTAAAGGCACAGTTGACGATGATTTTGGGGTCTCTAGTTCTGGATGAATAATAAAGGTTATATTTCAGAATAGTGCAAAATTGCCGGAGAAAACGCGAAAAGCTAGATATTCAGAGAAACACAAGGGTTCAAAAAAGCCGTGAAATTAAGGATTGGACGAGAATGTGACGACACCGGTTGCACGAAAGCGACATGTGGACGAGTTGTTGAAATGCAGGGCCGGTGGGTACAACTGGCTATAGTAAGCTGCCCGCCTGCGCCGGGTATGGGTACATACGTACGTCCGAGGATGCGCGCAGCAAATTGTGCGGCGAGATCCATGGTGACTTTAGCGCCTATCATTGGGGCCCAAATTTTAAGTAGGGCAGATTGGTAGGGTAGGGTAGAGTAGATTAGTAGAGTAGATCAGTAGATCCTACCAATCTATTCTTCTTCAAATTCGGGCCCCAATGATAGGCGCTAAAGTCGTTTAAATCGCCACGATCTTCGCCGCGCAATCTGCCGAATGCATCTTCGCACGCACTTGTGTTCCGTCCCCCGCTGCTCCGTGCGCTTTCCGGTGGTATGGTGCAACCTCTGCAAGTTCTGCAACGCGTGAAATCTCGCCCACTTTGGGGTGTGTACTTTGGCTAGGTCGATTTCGGGGCCCTTATTACGCCCTAAACAAGCCATTTAGCAAACTGTAACTCATGCTTTTTTGATTCCACTTGTTTCTATGAAATTTCACTGTTTTGCGCGCACACACAGCTCTTTCCGCCAAGAGAGTATTTCAGAAAACAAGTGCAAAAACGAGCATGTACCTTCCAAGGTCGGGTCGTTTTAGAAGACATTTACTCACAGTTATGGGAAATTAGGACTTTCGAAAGCATTTTTGTAGTGCCTTCGATGTAGGGTAATATCGTGATCTCTCAGAATAAGGAAACGATAGGAAGACTGCGCCACACACTTGGTAGTCGGTCAGGTTCATCGTTAGACCTGAATTGAGTAGTAGTAACAAGGATAAGTTTGGGTTACTGTTTTTGGAAGGTTGCTACAGTATGTCCATTGTAAGCTTAAGGCTGCTGTGACTTAGGACCTGGAAGTTCTGGTCACTAGAACCGTCATTCTAATAATGAACAACTCACTTTGAGTATCAGAGTATTTTCATGTTAAGCTGAAGCCTGATAAAAGTTCAAGTCACCATCGTTACAAACGCTGATGTTTATCACATTCCCATCAACAAATTCAGTTTTCGAAAGGTATTCCACACTGCTACTTCGGTAAAAACTGGTAGCAAGACTTGTTATGAGTGAGCCGCTACTTGACACCGACCATGACTGAGGACTTCCCGGGAGACGGGCAGCAGGAACGGTTTTGTGCAATCGATTCGCCGCGCGCGCGGCAGTCGCAGACCATTTGCCTCGTTATTACGGTTCCAGCGTTCTTCATACAACTCAGTCGATGGCCATTATTACTTTTGGCATGATTCCGATGTTAGTTCTTTTCTTCCTGTACTTCTTACTTGCTGCTGCATTCTGCTACATTCCTTCTCGCGCGGCGCCCCTTTTGCCGCGACGCGGCAGTTTCGTTCCTCCTGCATCACACCCGATCTTCCCGATACTCTTTCTAAGCTCTTGCAGATGCCATCATTCGAAAAGGTGTCTCAGCGATATAGTGAGGGTAACAAATCCAGACGTTCTTTTCGACTCCAGTGATATCTCCAAAGGGATCATCGAGAAATTAATCGATCTTCAGGTCTTTCAGAGTAGTCAAAATGAAAAAAAATGATTTGCAAAGAACATTGTGCGTATGTGATTATGTTGTGTTTTGGGTTTTACGCGACGTTGTAATGAGGGGAGAGCAGGCAGGAGGAGGTGGAACACAGCCGACACTAAGCTGAACCCTTCGAATCGATCGATTTCATTGTGAGCAGAGCAGGATGTCGGCCGGTGATTTACCTCCACGTTTTCAACTAGCCCTTAGACGTTCACTATTCTTCGGAATATGCCTATGCTTCTGGCTTCTCATCGGCACGCTCACACTTTCTTTACTATCCGTGGTCGGACAAAGACGGGTACGGTATGCTGAATTTCTGTAGACGGTATTTTGTTGTTTTGTGCACCGACTGTGCAAATATTCAGCCTAAGACTTTAAAAAATTGTGGCGGTTCTTGATAGGAAGTGTTCATGTAATTTCCAAGTAGTCTACCTAGCCCTCCGAACTGGATCATTCTCTATCACATAGATTGACTACCTGGGTAATTTCATGTCGATCACTATAACCACATGAGCGAAACAGATGGCAGACAGTGTGTGCATGTTTGCTAGCTTTGGCCTTCCTGATACTTCAAACTCTATCGTCCGTTAAGCTAAATTTTGGCCTGTTCACCTTTATCAGAGCTTTGAAGTTGAAAAATCAAGGGTGGCTGGCTGCGCAATTCTGTTTTCTGTAACCGAAAGAGTTGTTGAATACTACAGAAAATATGCTCCTGAAACCACAACCCTTCAATTCCCAAGGTCTTTCTGTGCCAAGTGGAAATGAGACCATTTACAGAAAGCGTAAACTCAGAATTCCTCTGCAATTGCTAGCAGGGGATAACTTCACCAATTCAAATTCGTTTTTATTGCAGCCATTGAAGCTGAGTAGGCCGAGTACCTCAAGTAGTAACCTAAGTAGTAATAAAGTACAAGAACGTAAATAATCGACTCATCGAGATATTTGTGAGAGTAATTATCCTTTAATAAATTTCGGATGTATTTGTTTGAATAGGGTTCTAGTAGAAGGCAAGTAGAAGGCAGTTCACATGAATGGATGACAAACCATTGATGAACCATTTCAATTTAACTTTCTTTAATTTTATTTTTGTTCAATTCTTGAACAGAACCAAAAATGTGGCACTGTCTGGTTTCAGGCGGATGTTGCTGGGATGGTGAAATTGGACACAAAACGAACCGAATTACTGAACGTTTTATGGGCTGAGACCATTTCGAAGCCAGAAGCGGACTGGGCAGAAATGGCCAATCAAAAACTCGAAATTTACGAGAAAGTAAGTGAGGCAATAACGTAGTGGCTACTTATTTCAACTGAATTTGTAGTCTTCAGGCTCTTCTCAATTACTTGGGTTATCGTGATGAGTCTGACGATCGCTCTCTTATGGGTTCACTACGAAAATCATTCTCACTGGTGACCACCATCGGTAGACTGACTGTAGCCTCAACCTTTTTTCTCTCCCATACTTACAAGAGTTTTATTAGAAGATCCCGGTCGATATGAACCCTTTCAGCACATTATTTATTGCAGGTCCAATGAACATTGGAGGTTTCACTACTGTTGGAAAGGCTTTTGCGATTTTATACACACTTATAGGTAAGCTTTGTTATCTAAGTAACCGTCTTTATCTAGTTAGAGGTATAAATTCCCCCTTCGAGGCTACCTGCCTAGCCAAACTTTCCTTACCCATGGCACATTGTTAATGTCAGATCTAATTGGGTGGATAAAAGCACTAAATAGGGCTACAGCTCAATTCTTGGCCACTATAAAGGTTTGATTCTCACTGAACTTGTCATTTCTGCGAAAACTTAATTGGTAAATGAAAAGTTTTCCATGAAAGTAGTACCGGTGCCAACATCTACAAAGTAATTCACCTGTTTGGGGAAGATTTTTCTCATAATTCTTCGTGCACAGGTTTGAGGTTGACGATTTGGTCAAATGTTCCAGGTGTGCCGCTGTGCTTACTACTTGTATCACAATGTGGGCGAATGTTCACATCCATATGGGAGGTAAATATGCATCCGTTCTTATATATATTATCTTGATAAACAACCAGTGAAACTTGACTACTGATGTCGTAATTGGCTTGAGTGTTTTTATTGTGAAAAAAATGGCTCAGTGACGAAAGCATCTCGTCAGATGCCCAGAAAATGTAAGTTTGATTGATAACCTTCACAAGAAAATAGTGGGTCATACAACGAAAATTTCGACACTTCAAATTTCATGAGCATACCGAACTGTTTCGAAAAATTTTCGTAATATGCAAAAACAATGAAAGAAAACTCTGCTCTTTTAGCTCGGTTTTTTCCATGAATGTCCTTCACGCTGATTACCAACTAGGCTTCTATTTTATTCAATTCTTGAATCAGAGTGCCGAGTCCCTTTGTGGCTATGCATACAGACCTAAATCTTAGGGTCTGAAACTTGGAGGAGCACTATAAAAAGGTTGAATATATGAAAAACAAATATTTGGAAGTTGTTTACCGCTCGATATCAACTGTAAAGGTTCCACCATATGAAAATTTCCAAGAAAGTATTTTTATGATTTTTCTACGAATGCTGGATTATTTATTTCTTCGATTCCACTTTTTCATGTACATCCAATTAATTTTACCAACTATCACTAAGTATCTCATGTTGAATAGTTCTCAATGTTTCTTCAAGTTTTCTTAGTACATTGGAGGTCTCGAAAATGTAATGAATCATGGGCAACAATTTCTGACATCTGTCAGTATGCATTGCGATGACAAACAACTGTGAAGTAAAAACATTAGGCAGTAAAGCAGGGGGGATTGAAGAGCGAAGTCACTCAATTTTTTTCAGGGAAGAGCTTTGATGATACCTACCATGAGCTTCATTTTCGTTTCCGCCATCATCTACGACATCATAGAGGATGGAACGGATGACGTTGTAAGTTGATTGTTGGGAATCACTGATTGCTTCGACTTCTGAAGCATGTATCAAGACACAGTTCACGTTAATTCTGAGGTATTTGATTCTGAATTAAGACAAGTTTTGATAGACATTAATGGGAGATTATGACGACGGTAAAGTAAGCTCAGAAATCTTTGGAATTGGCGAGATGCATACAAGGGCTCTAGCACTAGTTCAAGTCGGGGGCTGTTCGAGTATTTGATGGCGGAAGTGGTACGGAAAGGGTATTTAGGCGATAATGCAATGGTGTGCAACCGTGAGAAGAATTGGTTACAGTGACAAGAACTGCTTCCCATTTTCACCATAAGCCAGGGATCGGGGAATCAGCTGTTTGACTTTCAAACATATGTGCTCCAATGCGAATGGTGCAAGTAATACTAATTCGTTGAAATACGAATGCTCCTGTACATTAAGGTAAAGGATAAGGTCTTTGGACCGTAATCAATCCCCTCTAAAGGATGCGCCCCGCATTTGACTTCCATTTGAAATCGTCGTTGCGTATTGAATGCGTACGTGACCTATACAATGATTTGTGGTGGCCAGCCGATGTACAAGTCAGTACTTTCATCCTCCCAGACGATTCTGTTACCAATTAACCGGCTCCGGATTAGTGGAAAACTTTGTTGGCCTGGGCTGATATCAATCTGCGATTCGAACCCCCGACCGTGCATCTGTGATAGTGCGCCCACTGTCACTACACCACTTCCGCCATACTTCTTTATATAATGGAGACATTTTTTGAGCCCTTATTACGCCCAATTAAACCGTTTTTCTAATCGACAACGGCCCCACTCCTATTTTGGGATCCAATGTTCGTTTCAATAGAAAACCTCAGAAACTACTTTCGTCGTGAACTGTGCCTTCAAGTTACCTTTTCTAAAATAGTCTCATAGACGCATGATTCCTACATCAAAGGTTTACCAAGTGCTTAAATCCCACAAGGCAATGGTATCGTTTCAGCCGTTCGTTGACGCTATCTTTTCGATCTTCCTACAGTTCTCTGCGATCGGCGAAATGGAAAGCGAGTTTCAGTGAGTTCAGCTCGACTAACTTGCAGCGATACTGCGTATAAGTAATGGTGCCAAGATCAGTTGGCTCTGAACATCTGCGTTCGAGCACGAACATCATCGAAGAACAATAAAATATCTCTGAGAATCATGTGCTGGATGTATTTATTCTCCGGTACTGTTTCATAGTATTGCTAGCAAGGGGAGGGGCATAGATTTGAGCCTCATGTTGGAGCGGTGGAACAAGGAGGTTCCTCCGCTCCAACAACCGCTATGATTTTTTATCACCGAACTCTGAAATGATTGCTGCCAAAGAGACCAGGAGGGCAGATTCGTATTTCAGGAGTCGCAGGCTGGCAACCAAGATCGCTGTGGCTGCATGCTTGTATAAAAACATGAATAAAATTGAAAAACGAAATAAAAATAAGTAAAAGAAATAACGCCCTAGACAAATAGTCATACTATGTGGCACAGGTTGCTTTCAGAGTCTACGATCTGGCCCGGGACCGGTCGCGCGATCGGTCGCGTGTCAAATCGTTGACTATGAAAGCAGCACCACTGAAAAAAAAATTGGATAGACATGATATCGCGTGTTGGAGAGTGGTTAAGAAAGATGTAAACAATCGAGGAAGGAACAACTCCTGTTTTGGATTCAAAAAGCTTCCAAAGACACCTTACATTATTTTCGCATCATAACGATATTGTAACACTTGAAACCATACTTCTTCAAAAAATTCTTTTTCAGTGGCATCCTTCCATACACGATTACTATTTTCGGACTTGCTATGATGAGTGCATTGTTCTCTCAAATGCAGCATGAACTTGAGCGATCTATTCATGGACTTGAATTCACATTCTCAAAGTAAGTTACTGTCGCTGTCAATGGTAATAGATTCCATGGATTATATAACTTTTTGTTCACATGCAATTTAATATACTGTAGTTTGCATGTATAAGAATTCCGGAAATCGAGTTAAGTTAACTATGGCTTGAGTCAGGGCGGAGGTGGTGTAGTGGCAAGTGGCGCACTATATCACGCGCACGGTCAGGGGTTCGGATCGATGCCCGCCTAGGCCAACCAAGCCTTCCATCCCTCCGGGGTCGGTGGATTGGTACCAGACTCGTCCGGGAGGATAAAAGCACTGGCTTGTACATCGGCTGGCCACCGCAAGTCATTGTATAGGCCACATACGCACTCAGTACGCCACTACGATTCTGAATGGAAGTCGAGTGCGGGGGCGCATCCCTCAGACGGGATTGATTAACGCCAAAAACTTTATCCTTTATCCTTTATGGCTTGAGTTCCTTCGCAGGATCATGGAACTGAAACTTTTTCGTAATATAAAAGCAAGCTTGCCATGATCAACCATCTCCATAAGAATGGGATGTAGTCAAGAAAAGAAACTTCCCAAGCAGGTTGCAAAGCGCACGATGCTATGGGGGAAAGGATCTACTCACGTTGGGGTCCAAAACTTATGATTGGCTTTTCATCGTCACAAGAGAAAGAATGTCTCTCTTCAAAAGTGCCATGCGCTTAAATGAATTGATCTAGAGTATTGTACTGGTCTGCTGTTCTTATGAACGATTTGTCGTAGTTTTTCGCCTAAATAAGGATCCTATTGCAAATATTACACCCTATAGTGTTGGGGTCTAATGTGCTTCCAGCAATGAATTAGAACGAACATTGTAAGTGAATTTGCAGGTGGTGGGTTTCTAATTAGCACTGCAACTCCACTAATAATTTCCAACTTCTCTCCTGTTTTGACTTCGGCATTATTGTTAGCTTTATTAATATTCTTCTGCCGTTCGCTGCTGACAACTGTCTGTGGCGTGCGACAGCGAATTCTACCAACTTCGATGGTGGAGGACTCACCCCGCCCCCCCCCCGCCCAC